CCCCAAAACCCCAAAACCCCAAAACCCCAGAATTCTACTTTCGAACTTTTTCGAATATCAACAAATGCAATATAATTTATATTTCAAATAATCTATGGTTGAATAAAATTAATAAGACCTCTCAATACTCGAAGATGATGTCAATAAATCATTGCTCCTGGAAGCAAATGTCAAATAATTCATAATAAGATAATTCTATGATCAATTACTAACACAATCTATCAAGACTAGAAAACTAGATTATATTACGAGCAAGATAAACCTATTTTTTGGGATATTTCTAAAGGCTATACAGAATTATTTGAGTGAAGATTCACCGAATTTGGTCTTTCTGGAATAGAATCTAAATAAAGCAAACAGACTCTTTGTTTTATTGTATAGCTAGGTTTTTATATCTTATAAGAGATCTGATGTGAGCTATTCAATACACGGAATAATGGATTACAAAATCATTAAGCAAATCTTTTAAGAGCTACAGGAGATGGGGGACAAAAATCTTAAAATTAAATAGGAGCTTTTAGAAGTGATAGATACCAATAAAAATGAATATTTTAAGAAAATGAAGAAATTCGAAAATCTACTATAAAAAATATCATAAGATTAGCAGCACATCAAAGATATCTATGATAGTGATAATGATAAAGAAATCATAAATATGATTATCAAGGGAGAGGCTCATGCTAAAAATTTTATGGAATTGGTGGAAAATAATTTGAATGTTTAGAAACTGGATTTAAGTAAAATATTTAGACCAGACGAGAGTTTAGTTTATGAAGAATTGGACCAAGATAAATTACAGGAAAACTTAAGCAAATACTCGCCACAATAGAGAAATGCTATTCTGGTACACACTTCTGAAGAGTACGACCTAAAGTTAAAGTTTCAAGAATTTTTAGCAGATCTCACTGATAGTTTGAATGAACCTCTCGATTTAAACTTAAGACCAATTAGAGAACTATGCTTAGGTATTTAAAATATTCCCAAATTGGCTCTAAATTAATTCAACTAATCAAAAATATTCTTTTACTAACCAGATGTTACACCAATAGTACAAATTGATAGAGATTACTCTAAATAATAAGATGGCTTGATCATGCTTAAAGACATTGATGAAGATATTGAAATTTAGAAAGAATAACAAAAACAATTATCATCTATAGCAAAGAAATAGCCTCAAAATCAATCATTTTCTGAAAGCAAGAGAAAAGAAATTCATTTTAATTTTGAGCCTATTTGCAGGAGCATTTTTATGCACATCAATAATAAAATGCCTTACCTTAATTATCTTAATGACACAACTAAATAGGCGCTTTTCGTAAAAATACCTAAAAGGACACCAGTAAAACTCAACGAAAATGATGCAATATACTTTAGTAGCGATTACTTCGAATGCTTTGTAGTGAGTAAAATTGAAAATGGACCAATCGATTACACAGCTTTAAGATTGGAAAATGAAATTAACCCTAGAGTCTGTCCATCATCAGATCAATAAGGCAAGAATTCTGAGATTAGAATGGAGAGTATAGTTGACAGTATAACTAAAGTCGAAAAATATAATTAGATTGCGGAGAAGCCATTTATTGATCTTGATTTTAAAGGTTAAGAAGCTGAAAACAAGTTAATAAATATAAAAAGTCCAAATTACATTCATTTAACTCAGAAAACAATTCTTGTAGGTCGAGACAGAGGGGAATCTAATCCCAACATGTCAGATGATAAGATTATATTCTCAAAAAATATGAAATAAATTAGTTCAAAATAGGCAATAATCTAATTCTACGAGGGCAAGGGATGGTATTTAATTGATCCTAGTTCATCAATGGGAACTTATTTCTATGTAAAGAGTTTCAAAAATATTGGAAAGGCAAATGAAATCAGCTAAAATTTTAGGTTAATTAATGGCATGGAAATACATTAAAAAGGATATAGCTTCTCTGTTAATTTGAGATACTGAAGTAACTATGCTTTTGGAATTGTTCTATTGATAGCCAATTATCTAAAATATTAAATAGTTAAGAAGTATAATAAGTTTAATTATATAATTTAGAGATCCATAAAATTGCTTAAGTTTTAGCAAGCGGGGTTTTGGGGTTTTGGGGTTTTGGGG